CTGCCCCTTGAATGTTATCATTAAACTTTGTATCCTACTATGCTATCACCATGGACTACAAACCACCTCCCCCTGTTATGGAGAAGAGAGGGAGGTGTTATGTAATCCTTACACAGTGTTATGTAGCCCTAACATACTACTTGCCTTAGGGTGACAACGCTGCTCAGTACAGTTGTTAACCTAGGGCAGGGAGTGTCTTAAAGGCAGGATTACCAGACTAAGATAAAGGTCCAAAAACAAGTGAAAATAGTAAAATATTGCAACCACCACATCTCAGGGCTGGCAAATTACTCTTGGGTTTAGATGCACTTTAAGGGAGTTGATTTATAATGAAAGTAAAAAGTGACCTAATTGTGGTCCTAGGCTGCTGATTCTCCAATTGCTGTGAACAAATTGCTCAAAAATAGTGAGCTTGATATTGATATGAGTTGTTCATTGCATAAAATACAGCCAACACGTTTCTGGAGAGGATAAGTAACAAAATAACGGGTCTTTTAAATGCCTCTCCAATGGTCAAATATGCACATGGCACACTTATTAAAAAAAATTTTAACGTGACTTTATTCCAACAATTTAAAAGTATAATAATAAAAACATATACAAAGTAGGACATTGGTTCTACCGCTTGTCTCCCACATACAATGGTGGAGGGACTGTAGCACTGAAATCCTCAGAGATCTTAAACTGTAGGTTGAAGCATTTCGCAGGTTGCCCGCTTCCTCAGGACCTTAGATCTGAGCAGTATAGATACAATGATCACTGAAATTATATATTAACTAGATGCCGACCGCAGATAGCCGAATGACGGCTGCACTGCGGCCGGCCACCAGTTCTGATCCATGGACGTCATATGACGTCCTCCCAGAACGCGCGGGCGCGCACCCCCAGGCGATCTCAACGTGATCCTACGGTTTTGTTCACAGTGGTATCACGTGATGTGAAAAAAAGCTCTATCTTGGCCAATCACAGCAGCCTTTTACCACGTGATCAGCGGTGTCCATGACACGCTGATCAGAGGGAAATGCAAGTGCCGGTTCTCGGCTGCACTTTCCTCACGCTGTCAGATCATGAGGAAAGTACTGCCGAGAACCAGCAGTTGTTGTCAGAGCGGGGATCGGCACCGATCATCAGGGCACCCACACCTGATGATCGGTGCCCAGCAATGGCACCCGCAAGTTTCTGCCCACCTGTGCCCAGCAGTGCGCCCACTGAGCTAGCTGCCGCCCACCTGTGCCCAGCAGTGCACCCACCTGTGCCCGGACACAGCAGTGCACCCACCTGTGCCACTCTGCAGTGCCACCTACCTGTGCCCAGAAGTGCCACCCACCTGTGCCCACCCACCCCAGCAGTGTGCCCACCAGCAGTGCCACCCACCTGTGCCCAGCCACCCACCTGTGCCCACCAGTGCCACCACACCTGTGCCCACCCCACCCAGTGCTGCCCACCAGTGCCACCCACCAGTGCAGCCCAGCAGTGCTGCCAGTCTGCCAGTCAGTGCCACCAGTCAGTGCCCAGGGGTTGTGCTAGTCAGTGCCGCCAGTCAGTGCCGTCTATCAGTACCCATAATCAGTGTCACCTATCAGTGCCGCCTATCAGTGCTGCATATTAGTGCTGCCTATCCGTGACACCTCATTAGTGCTGTCTATCAGTGCCGCCTATCCGTGCCACCTCATTAGTACTGCCTATCAGTGCCCTTTAGTGCTGCCTATCAGTGCCCATCAGTGCCGCCTATCAGTGCTCAACAGTGCTGCCTCATCAACGCACATCAGTGGAGAAAAAATACCTGTTTGAAAAATTTTATAAAGAAACAAAGAAACTTTTTTTTTTTTTCAAATTTTTTGCACTTTTTTTATTTATAGCGCAAAAAGTAAAGCGCCCAGTGGCGATTAAATACCACCAAAAGAAAGCTCTATTTGTGAGAAAAAAATGATCAAAATTTCATATGGGTACAATGTTGCATGACCGTGCAATTGTCAATCAAAGTGCGGCGGCGCTGAAAGCTGAAAATTGGCCTGGTAAATAAGGGGGTATAAGTGCCTGGTAGGCAAGTGGTTAACAAACCTTTCCAAAATTTACCGTGTAACTGGGTAGCTTCTCTAATCCCAGAAAGAAAAAAGAAAGAAAGGAAAAAAAAAAAAAAAATATATATATATATATATATTCTCTCCTGGGTTGCGTTTGCAGTGTGTTTTGGATCATTGTCCATCTGTACTGTGAAGCGCCATCCAATCAACTTTGTTGCATTTGGCTGAACCTGGGCTGAGAGTGTATCTCTAAACACTGCAGAATTCCTCCGGTTGCTTCTGACTTCTGTCACATCATCAATAAATACCAATGACGCAGTGCCACTGGATGCCATGCATGCCCATGCCATCACACTGCCTCCACCATGTTTTACAGATGAAGTTGTGTGCTTTGGATCATGAGCTGTTCCAGGCCTTCTCCACACTTTTTTCTTCCCGTCATTTTGATACAGGTAAATCTTAGTTTCACCCGTCCAAAGAATGCTTTTCCAGAATTGGTCTGGCTTTCTTAGATGTTTTTTGGCAAAGTCTTATCTGGCTTTCATATTCTTCAGCCTTATGAATGGTTTGCACCTTGTGGTGAACCCTCTGTATTTGCTCTCACGAAGTCTTCTCTTTATTGTAGACTTTGACAATGATACGCCCACCTCCTGGAGAGTGTCCTTCACTTGTCTAGATGTTGTGAATGGGTTTTTTTTTACCATGGAGAGGATCCTGCGATCCTCCACCACTGCTGTCTTCCATGGACGTACAAGCCTTTTTATGTTGCTTAGTTCACCAGTGCATTCTTTTTTCCTCAGAATGTACCAAACTGTTGATTTGGCCACTCCTAATGTTGCTGCTATCTCTCTTTTCTTGTGTTTTTGAATCCTTACAATGGCCTGTTGCATTTGGAACCTATTGCTGCAAACCTACATCATGTGTTCAAAAGAGCTGTCCATACAAGTGAAAGTACCACACTTAGAATCAACTCCAGACCTTTTACCTGCTTAATTGATGAAGAAATAGCGAAGGAGTAGCCTACACCTGGCCATGAAACAACTTTTGATTCAATTGTTTAATCACTTTTGATCCCTTGAAAAAGGGTGAATGGCTACTCTTAATAGCTGTAATTTCTAAACCCATGCTTCAATTTGGATGTACATACCCTCAAATTAAACCTGAGAGTGTGCACTTTCAGCCCATATCCATTATATAACTATAGCTTGAATATGTTTTGGTAAATACCTGAAAAGACTAAAATTGTGCCTGTGTCCAAATATATACATACATACGCACACACTATATTGCCAAAAGTATTGAGACACCCCTCCAAATCAATGGATTCAAGTGTTCCAATCACCTCCATGACCACAGGTGTATAAAATCAAGCACCTAGGCATGCAGACTGCTTCTACAAACATTTGTGAAAGAATGGGTCGCTCTCAGGAGCTCAGTAAATTCAAGTGTGGTACCGTGGTAGTTTGCCAGCTGTGAAATAAGTCTATCCGTGAAATTTCCTTGCTACTAAATATTCCATGGTCAACTGTTAGTGGTATTATAATAAAGTGGAAGCAATTGGGAACAACAGAAACTCAGCCGCAAAGTGGTAGGCCGTGTAAAATGACAGAGTGGGGTCAGCACATGCTGAAGCGCACAGTGCCCAGAAGTCGCCAACTGTCTGCACAGTCAATAGCTAAAGACCTCCAAACTTCATGTGGCCTTCAGATTAGCATAACAGTGCGTAGAGAGCTTCATGGAATGGGTTTCCATGGCCAAGCAGCTGCATCCAAGGCTTACATCACCAACTGCAATTCAAGCATCGGATGCAGTCGTGTAAAGTACGCTACCACTGGACTCTAGAGCAGTGTAGATGTGTTCTCTGGAGTGAGAAATCAGGCTTCTCTGTCTGGCAGTCCTATCGATGTGTCTGAGTTTGGCGTTTGCCAGGAGAACGGTACTTGCTGACTGAATTGTGCCAAGTGTAAAGTTTGGTGGAAGGGAACTGTTAAGGCATCAGCATACCAAGACATTTTGGACAATTTCATGCTCCCAACTTTGTGGGAATAATTTGGGGATGGCCCCTTCCTTTTTAAACATGGTTTCGCACCAGTGCACTTAGCAAGGTCCATAAAGACATAGATGAGCGAGTTTGGGTGGAGGAACTTAACTGGCCTGCACAGTTCTGACCTCGACCTGATAGAACACCTTTGGGATGAATTGGAGCGGAGACTACGAGCCAGGCCTTCTCATCCAACATCAATGCCTGACCCCACAAATGCGCTTCTTGATGAATGGTCAAACATTCCCATAGACACACTCCTACACCTTGTGGACAGCCTTCCCTGAAAAGTTGAAACTGTTATAGCTGCAAAGGATGGGCCAACTTAGTATTGAACCCTACGGACTAAGACTGGGATGCCATTAAAGTTCCTGTGCGTGTAAAGGCAGGCTTCCCAATACTTTTGGCAATAAGTAATTTTTGTTTCTATTTCTTTATTGCCTCCTTCTGGGATTAGATAAGCTACCCAGTTACTCAGTAAGGCCTACTATGCTTCTAAGTTTTGGAAAGGTTTGTTATTTATATATACAGTGGATATAAAAAGTCTACACACCCCTGTTAAAATGTCTGGTTTCTGGGATGTAAAAAAATGAGGCAAAGATAAATGATTTCAGAACTTTTTCTACCTTTAATGTAACCTATAAACTGTACAACTCAGTTTAACAACTGTGGGAACTCGCTTCAACGTGGTAGAGCTTTGAAACGAAAACAGCTACTCACTTTCTTTTTCAGGGCCTTTTTAGCCCACTTTTATTTAAATGAAAGGTCAAACATAATGCTTCCCACACAGGGGTATCCACCATCAAACAAAGATTCAGCCTCCTGGCTTACACACAGCTTGATGTCTGTCTCCTGCAGACTTCTTCAAGAATTATGGCCACTAGCACACAGCTAGTCTCTAACAGCCCCTTGCTGCTTTTGGCTTCCACCTCTCCTAGGTGAAGCCCACCTGACTCCTGTCTTCCACATGGAGCCCTCCTGACTCCTAGCTGCCGGGGTGGAGCCCAGAATCATGGCCTGGCCTCCACTAAAAGGCCTGCACACACCTGTGCAATCAGCACGCTGGCTGCTCCCAAAATATGGGCCCAGGATTGGAGATTTCATCCCTCCCAAATCTCTAAGAAATCTCCAGGCTACAGGTCCCAAAACAGGCTTTACAAACCAAAGCGGAAACTTATAAATCAGTTTCCTCTGCATTGTGAGAACTGCCTGGAGCCCCTCAACCTGTATAGTTGAGAATCCTGGGTCTCCATCATGATTTCCACCGTGGCAGGATACCGTACTGCCCACTGTGCCTTTTTACGGGTACGCTTCCAAAAGCGTTGCCACTCTATTTTCCTTGGAGCTACCCAAGTCCCCTTCCCATTAAGGACCTTCCAAAACTTGGTACCTTGCTGAGGATGAGGGTGACGCCTGAGTTTTAGGTGTCGGACAACATTAAAGCTATGCTGCACTCTTAACCACCGGTTTCCCTTCACCTTTGAAGGGGTCACGCTTTTAAGCACAAAAAGTGTGGGCTTTTTTTATTGGGGTTACCTTAGTCCCTCTCTGCATTCTATGTACAGGCATCTTTTTACTGACAAAACCTAGCTCGGTTGGTTTCCCCCCCATACACTGCATGCTTCCTTTGGTCACTGACATTCTCAGACGACAGCAATGTCCTACTCTCCTTCTGAAGGACAGACCGATTGTCTTGCGCTTCAGATGATTTTATGTCAGGGGACCTCTTTAAATAATCCACTTCCTTAAAGTTTTCCTTCGGGGCAGATATGCGATTTAAAGTTTCTCTTCCCAGACTACCTCCTGAACCTGTAGGGGGCCCTAATTCTACTACAGCTTTTACCTCAGCTGTGCCTCCAACATCATATTTACCATTTACCAGTGCATTGCACTTTTCCTCATCATCATAAATATCAACATTTACAAGGGCCTTGCATTTTTCCTCATGGTCAGAAACATCCACACCTTTGTCAGAATTAATTTCAATGTTTGGCAGGGCAGTGTCTGGAGACCAAGTGCACAGCGTGGAGTGGTTGTCTTCCATGGCAATGTTGCTATCCACCAGCTCCACTGGCACATGAACCTCTTCCAGCAACTGTACTGACACCTGACAGTCATAACATAATTCCACATTTGGTTTACTGACCCCAATCACTTGACTCTAGAACTTCCTGACCATATTTAGGGCACTGGGAACGCTGAGAGACTCACCTGCTGAGACTTGAGAAGCTGAAATTTTTAAAGGGACCTCCTCCAAGCTGGAGATAACCACAGCCTGGTGCTCCACCAGAGAGCTGCCATGTGCTGGGCTCACTCTCAACATCTCAGACTCAGCATCCACAAGCTGCCCCTGATCATTCCCAGTGACAACATCATTTTGACACTCCATGCCAACATCACTTTTGTGGGTCACAGACAAAGTCTCTGCTGTATACACGCCCCTTATCCATAGGCTGTTCTATAGATCCTCCTGCTGGCACAGCAGAAACAGTGTCCACCTTGTTTTTTGCATAAAAACCTCATCTATCAACGAGATTAGCCTTTTATTCCAACTATCCCAATCCATTGTATATGTGCTCAATTCGCCAGTGCTCCTCAGCACCGAACCATCTGCCCAAGGAGACACATAAGAATAGACAGGCTTAGTTGCAGATCCATTGCACAAATCACTCTGGATCACATCAGACTTGGGTAACACCTGTTTTCCCACTGCAGGTTGCAATACCTCACATCCACCACTTTGCTCTGATGATACTTCCTGAATTACCCACAGACTTGCATTTTTGCCAGGCTGCATTAACCCGCTGTTCACCTGAACACTTCCAGTATTATTAGACTGCACCAACACACTCCTATGACAAGGTGCAGTTCCACTCTGCTCCACCAGAGTGACATCGCAGTTGTCCCGGGCAACCTCCGGCTCCAATACACGGAGACCCCTGGAGATGTCTAAGGACACCTGTGCTGTCTTACCACCAGTTACTATGGGAAATGACCCATCTTTAATTACAGCTTTTGCACTGCAAGAGCTCAGGGTTTTCCCAACAGCAGTACATTTCACATCATCAAACAACATCAGCATTTGTAGCTCTTGTGGGCTGTACTAGCCCACCACCAACCTGTGACTTGCACACATTAGTGACATCACTTCCTTTTTGAGAACCATGCACAGGTTTTACTTTAACCCCTACCTCCCCACTGTACAAGGCACTGCACAGGAAAAAGTCACTGTCAAAAGCACATTCAGTGGCCCAACTAACTGGGGTCACTCCTACATCAGAATGGACAGTCTCATAACCAGTCCTTCTCAACATGACAGTCCCAGCCATGGTTTTATCACACACAGTCTTACCCACCACAGTAGTAGGTGTCACCATCTTCATTTGAGTGCGTCGTCTCATAAACGCATCTTCAACTGCACTTTCCTTGGCAACTTTTCCCTTGTCCCAAGGTGAAGTAACAGACGCCCTCATAGGCTCCATGGACTCTCTGGCACCCCCTGCAGGCCCAACAGGAACTTCCTCCCTGTTGCCAGAGGCGGCCGCCAACATTTTCAAACAAGACTCTGTACTTGCAGTTGTAGATATTTGCGCAGTATCAGCGGTATTCCAGAGTCTGGGACAGTAAAAGATCCCATGCCCCCACTGACCACATTCCAGGCAGGGTACATTTCCACACTTATCTTTGTTGGGACACTGAGCCACATCTTCAATGCAGCTCCTCCTTCCAGGCACTACTTTTTCTCCAGTCGCCATGGGAGATTGCACTCTCCAAGCAGAACTTTGCTGGCTCTTTCCAACACGCTGTATTGGCTCCTCTTGATGCCACTTGCCATGATCCTTGTACGACATAGCCCCCCATACACAGACAGCCCGACTGGCCTCCTCTGTGTTGCTATGGGCCTTCACTCTTGGTCCTGGCCTCTGGTCAGCCCCTCTCCTTGCACATATCATAGGCTTCTCTCTGCTGGACCAACTCTCAAGCCGTGACACATTCACATTTTTCACAACAGCTACTGGTTTAACTGCAGCAGCGTTGCCAGGGGCAACAACACCCCTCTCCCAGGTACAGACATCCTGCAGCTCTCTCCTTGCACTGAAGGTTGGCTTGCTTTCCTCTTTAGGTTGGTTCAATGCTGCCAGGTGCCGCTTGCACCAGTCCACAGCAGACTCACCCACATCTACATTTCCCGGCTTGGCTGGGGCATGCGGTATATAACCCCCTAGCCACAGGGCTCTCTCTCTCATTTCAGCAAACATTGCCTCCTTTTTCTGTTTTGACCGCCCCATCTTTGCAGTCATGCACACAGCAGTGTTACACAGTTCAGCAACACCATGGAACACTGTCTCTTTAAGGCAAAGTCCTTTTCACTATCAGGTTCTCCTCACCTGCACACAGATAGTGCAGACTTATGCACCAAACAGTTCATATAACTGATGAACTTACTTCAATCGCTGGGATCTCCAATTCTGCCCACTGCATCCTCCACCATATGTGGGAACTCGCTTCAACGTGGTAGAGCTTTGAAACGAAAACAGCTACTCACTTTCTTTTTCAGGGCCTTTTTAGCCCACTTTTATTTAAATGAAAGGTCAAACATAATGCTTCCCACACAGGGGTATCCACCATCAAACAAAGATTCAGCCTCCTGGCTTACACACAGCTTGATGTCTGTCTCCTGCAGACTTCTTCAAGAATTATGGCCACTAGCACACAGCTAGTCTCTAACAGCCCTTTGCTGCTTTTGGCTTCCACCTCTCCTAGGTGAAGCCCACCTGACTCCTGTCTTCCACATGGAGCCCTCCTGACTCCTAGCTGCCGGGGTGGAGCCCAGAATCATGGCCTGGCCTCCACTAAAAGGCCTGCACACACCTGTGCAATCAGCACGCTGGCTGCTCCCAAAATATGGGCCCAGGATTGGAGATTTCATCCCTCCCAAATCTCTAAGAAATCTCCAGGCTACAGGTCCCAAAACAGGCTTTACAAACCAAAGAGGAAACTTATAAATCAGTTTCCTCTGCATTGTGAGAACTGCCTGGAGCCCCTCAACCTGTATAGTTGAGAATCCTGGGTCTCCATCATGATTTCCACCGTGGCAGGATACCGTACTGCCACACAACAAACTGAAATCTTTTAGGTGGAGGGAACTAAAAATAAAAAAACTAAAATAATATGGTTGCATAAGTGTGCACACCCTTAAACTAATAGTTTGTTGAAGCTCCTTTGATTTTATGACAGCACTTGGTCTTTTTGGGTATGAGTCTATCAGCATGGCACATCTTGACTTGGCAATATTTGCCCACTCTTCCTTGCAAAAACCCTCCAAATCTGTCAGATTGCGAGGGCATCTCTTGTGCACAGCCCTCTTCAGATCACCCCCCCCAGATATTCGATCGGATTCAGGTCTGGGCTCTGGCTGCGCCATATTTTCTCCACTTGATGATGCCTGTCTTCACTGTGTTCCATGGCATATCTAATGCCTTGGAAATTCTTTTGTACCCTTTTCCTAACTGATCTCTTTTAACAATGAGATTCCACTGATGCTCTGGAAGCTCCCTGCGGACCATGGCTTTTGCTGTAGGATGTGACTAAGAAAATGTCAGGACTGCTTTCCCGTCCGAACACTGACCACAGACATCAAACAAGACTAGACGACATCAATCTGTCTAAACATGGAACTCTTTATTTGAAACTCGAACTGGCTTTTTATACACTCGGGACAATCCACCCTCCCTGCATAATGACACAGAGTGGGGTAATCTACACTTTTCAACAAGAGACACACAGATATTCAAAATTCACACCAGAAGGCAGTCTCACCTGGAGGGAGGGCTGCTGGAGACACCCCGCCCCCCACTAAGCTAATACACATAAACAGATACATCCCATAATAGTTTGCTCCCAAGCAAGACACACAATAGAGCAATGGGATTCAACCACATGGCATTAAACAATCAACTACCCCCTACCCCAATATTAGGACAGATCACCCTGTACCCCTAACAGGCACAGGGTGACTTACACATAATAGGGATATGGGGAGCTGACACAGGGGTCTCCCCACCTCTCTAAAGCGAGCTGGGTTCCATGGGCCCCCCACCCAAAGTGACTCCCTTCAGACAGCTAGCCTTTATTTGGGGTTAATCAGAGGCACTTTAAATGATGGCAGGTGTCTACTGACTCCTATTTAACACGATTTTGAAAATGATTGCTTAATTCTGATCACAGCTATATCCCCAACTATAAGAGGGTACACTTATGGAACCGCATTATTTTAGTTTTTTATATTCCCCCCCAACCCCTAAAAGATTTCCGTTTGTTTTTCAATTGAATTGTAAAGTTCTGAAATGATTTCTCTTTGTCTCATCCTAACATTTTAACAGGGGTGTGTAGACTTTTTATATCCACTGTGTGTGTGTGTGTGTGTATATATATATGTGTGTATATATATATATATATATTTATATATATATATATATATATATATATTATATTCTTGATATTTTTCAGTGATCATTGTATCTATATTGCTGAGATCTAAGGTCCTGAGGAAGCAGATCACCCTGTGATACGCCTCGACCTACAGTTTACAATCTCTGAGGACTTCATTGCTACAGTCCCCCATCATTGTATGTGGGAGACAAGCTGTAGAACCAAAGTCCTACTTTGTATATTATTTTAATTCAAAGTATCTTTTAAATTGTTGGAATACGGTCACGGTGAATACAGTGAAGTTTTTTTTAATAAGTGTGTTGTGCATATTTGACCGTTGGAGGGGTATTTAAAGTCCCATTATCTTGTTTCTTTCCCACTATTATATTTTTGACAGGGATGATACCCTCCAATGGTATAACCCCATATATGGCACCAACCCCTTAGATACATACTGGTGTTTTCTGGGGGAGGGCCTCTTCATTCAGAGCAGAACTGTATGGTTTGTAATTAGATCCCTATGAGATGCTTTAGAATGCTTGCTTTGATGCTAAAATAGGGCTAAGGTGTTAACATCTCCACGTAAAGATGAAAGTGGCTGCTGTCTTCCTGTTGTACTAAAGAGTTCCAGCAGCAAGGTCTCCCAGTCATACTTCTTATTACTGAGTTATGAATACATTTATAGTACTTATATATATATTTACACAAAGTATGTATTATCTTAATGCTGAATTAAACCTTGCTATACTTAATTCTGCTTCAGTAATGCAACATCTGTGAGTTTCCTTGGCAGAGCCAACATCTTCGGCTATCTTAATTGACTGGAACAGGACTACAGAACTACAGGACTTCCCGTATGGAAGAAAAATATATTTGAAATATATTTTAAAAATATTCTTCCCAAATCTATTGACATATATTTGAAATACTACAATTTTGGTCATAGTCAATATATTTCAATATATACTGTATGTTGAATGCATTTTATTACAAAATATATGAAAAATATTTTAAAAAATACATTTCAAATATACTGTAGGTCTTTAAAAATACAAATCTACATTTTTGGAATGCATTTACAAATATATGTTTTAATGACTTTTTTATATGTTAAAAAAAATCTGAAGAATATATTTAAAAAAAATATATTTTTTTAAATATTTTTTTAAAATATAGTCTTCAGATTTTCTTTAACATAAAAAAGTCATATATATATATATATATATATATATATATATATATATATATATTATTGAAATATATTGAATATGGCCAAAATTGTAGTGTTTCAAATATATGTCAACATATTTGGGAAGAATATTTTTTAAAAATATATTTCAAATATATTTTTCTTCCATGTGGGTTAGTTCATCCTAATATCCAGAAGGTGCTGGGATTGTAAACTGAGCTGTGCGTGCATCTTAAAGAAGATACAACAGAGGAAGATAAGAAGCTTATTTCAGAAGAACATACATAGAAATAGTTTGTATCTTCTGAAATAAGCAAACTTTCCTGCTAGTAATTTTCTTAAAAAGCATATTCACCATTTCGACTCCTCAGCATTTTCAACCTATAGAGTGACATCTGCCCTCAACAAGGGTTCATGCTTTCTTCAGAATGAAATCTGGTTTCTGTAAAATTCACTGTATTTATAATAAGACACATGTTACATTTTCCAACAAAATTTGACCATTAAAACCCATCCCAGGCAAAACTTAGAACTTCTTCCAACTTTTTACTGATTTATTTTTCCCTTTTGCGCCTCAGCTCCTGTCTGTTGAAGTGCAGGAAAATCATAATAGGCGAATACCTCTAATGGGGATGCAGACAATAAGAAAAAACAAATGTCCTTGTACAGCGAGAAAGGTTAAAACCACTGTCAGAATTTAATTGCTGTCTTTGAGGAAGATTTCCCTGTATTTCCTGTCCAGATTTCAAACGGAACATAAAGAGAAGGGAATTCTTCTGATACAGACAGTATTTAAAATCTTATAGTAAAATCTCAATGGAACACAAACAAAGGTTTTAAAACTTGACAGAAGATTTACTGTATCTATAAGTAAAAAAAAAAAAATTAAAAAAAATTTGGTTGGAGTTTAACTTTAACATTCACCACTCTAAACTAGATGCAGTCCATGTATTTCTAATTCACCTTAACTACATCTGTCATGATAATTTCCCATGGTTTCATCTGACATAGTATTTCTAAATACCAGTGGTGCTACTAAAGAAATACAATTTTTTGTTATAACCCTAATAAAAAGTTTCATTTTAGAAACTCCTGACAGGAGATTTCATCATCTCAGAAACCTCATCATCCCTTCATTTAAACATCACCTCTCTTTGCATTCTTACCTCTCCTGTGCCATTATCCTCTGTGCCAAAGACCAACAATAGTAGTGTAGAAATCCCTGTGCTGGAATCGACTGCTTTGGAACCACCATGGCACCTCAAAATGTCTGCCCCATTCTTCTTATTGTTGCATAGACTGAAATTCAGAAGGAGCCTATAGTCCGATTAGCAGAACTGTAAATTCAGATATACTCTAAGGGTCTTGCCCTGGAATACAAGGGAAATTGAAGGACTGATTTAGGAAATTTAGGACTGATTGATCCTATAGTATCACAGTCACATGATGTAATCCGTCTTTTTATTATGTTATGTATAACTGCTGTGACCGAACATTAAAGGATATGTTAACCTGAACTGAATTTGGTGCAGTTGCTTTCAACTTTATTTATCCTTTTTCAAGTTTTATATGAAGTTTTACTGATTTGAGTTTACATATGCTTTAAAGCTAAAGTTTAGTTAAGAAATTACCTACAGCTTTAGTCACATCACTTACCTGTAATGACGTATGTTCCATATTATGCAGGAGCAAGATCCTTGGGAAATCTTCACTGCAGGGATGCCTGTTCTCTTCCCGTCTTTGGGCTTCTGGCACTGCAGTTGTTAACAGTTTCGAGTCATCAGGCAGAATAGCATTACAGATGGTCCAACAGGGACCTGCCCATTTCTTTCTCTGCCATTGAGAAAAGTTCTTGAATTTACTGCCTGTAACATAATCTGTGATTGGGGAGAGAATCCTGTAACTCTTTAGACTTTTCATTTATAGACAAACTAACAAGTAGTGTGATAAATGAAAAATATAGTAGGGGACGTGTCCCTATCAGACCATCTGTACTGCTTTTCTGCCTGATGATCCAAGCTGTTAAGCACTGGAAAGTCAGAATCAGGAAGAGGACAGGCATTCCTGCACTGAAGATTTCCCCAGGATCCTGCCGTCTGCACAACATGAGACATACAGTACTTCATTACAGCATTACAGGTAAGTAATGTGACTAAAATAAGGGAATCAATGTAGGGATTTTTGTAAGCTAAGTTTCACCTTAACCACTTGCCGTCTGGCCGCTGTATATAAATGGCTGGATGGTGGCAGTCCAGGGGCGGGTTGCCGTTCATAAACGGCACCCGCTATTATGGACTGTGCGCGCTCCCAGGGAGCGCGCAGCACCGTAATCTGGTGCCGCTGTGTCCTGCAGACACAGTGGAACACCGATTGTCGTACGGGACCTCTGTGCGAGGTCCCGATCATGTGATCACTGATTGGCCAATCAG